TTTGATTAATTTTTATTTTTTTTTGATTAATATCATTGTGAGCATGAGCGTGTGTGAATGTTCAGAAGAGTTTATTTGTATTTCTATCTGTTATTTTTGATTCGTCCCCTTATTGGGAGGGGGTATGATCACAAATGATCATAATAATTTTGATAACAGTTTTTCTTATTTTGTTATTGCGCTTTGGTTTGAAGCTATACGGGCATTAAGAGTATTCCTCATTTGATAGTTGGGTTCGTGGTTTGGCTTTCAAAATTCATATTCAGATATTGATTTAAACCTAATATAGTCAGGCAAAAGCTTAATACGAGAACAGATTGTTAATTCCTCACTTTTATATACATTTACACAATATATAGGGAAATACATTGACAAGGCACGAAATTTTGAGTATTGGCTTTGGTCAATATATTTCGCCAGCAAATAGTTTGTGTGTGTGTTTGTTGTTGAGGGGACAGACAATAAGACAGATCTAGCAAAAGGTGAGAGCGTGTGAGAGGCAGGAAACAGAGATAAACGATAAACGAGACAGAGACATAAGGTACTTTCACTTGACAGAGTTGTGAGAGAGAGTACGTTTGTGCTTTACCTTTTTGACATCCGTATTTGGCATCGGCTATAAATCCAGTTGGGCAGAATTTACATATCGGCTTATGATCCTCGACAATGCATGGCGAGTTGGATGCGCACGTGGCAAACTTGCACGGATCGACGCACTGATAATTACGACAGGCCAAGCCCGCCGGACAACCAGCATCACGCAAACATATTGATATCGATGGCTGGCAATCGCGCATGCAAATACATACAGGCTTATGATCTTGTACCTCACAGGATTTATTTTCGGCACAAATAGGGGCACGGCCCAGTGGCACTATACACGGGTTTCGACATTTGCCATCCGTGCAGGCCATATTCGAGGCACAGTCATCATCGCGATAGCATTCGCGCTTATCCGGTGCACAGGTCAATTCACCATACTCATTGACAATAAAGCCTGATTTGCATATGCAAACGGGCTGGTGGCGTCGTGTCTCGCATTTTTTATTACTCTCACAAATAAATAGGGGATTGTTGCAAGGATCTGTGCATTGGCCGAATTGACCGCACTGTAAGGTCTCTGGACACTCGGCATCACTGGCGCATGTTATTTGCTCCTTTGTCTTGGGGTCTGTGTCTTCTGGCACACATTTTGGATCCGGCTTGCACTCGACCTCGGGTCGACCTATGTGACAGCTGGGACAGGAGCACCGCGGACGATGCAGCACTGTCTGACATAGCGCATTTATGCCACACGCGCCACGCATTGTACAAGGATCGGTGCAGTGTCCTTGCAGGCATGATTTCTCACTGGGACAATCCGTATCTGAGTAGCATTGATCGGTGTCTAAAACGTAACGTTACAGCAGCAGCGAAGAACGAGAGAGAGAGAGAGAGATAGACAGGTTGTTGGTTGTTTATACTATGTTAATCGTTGGGATCACTCAACTATTCGGTGGCATATACGATAGAGGTACCCTAAAAAATGTACTTGTTGTTTGCTGTTTTTTTTTTTGCATTGTTTAAATTACTAAACATTGAAACTCATTTAAGTAAGAGTGCAAAATCGAAATCATTTAGATATAGTTGTTGGAATTAGACAGAAAAGCGAGTGTGTTTCGATTGAAGCGTTGGGGAGGGGTACGTGGTGTAAACAGACAAAATGGTATGCAAACATGGGGTCAGATAAGAAACTTAATACTAAAATTTTCTAAAAACAAAAATAGAAAAACTTAAACAAGACAATATATTAATAGTATAATCCAGTATTGGTTGTTTCGATTGATTTTTTTTTGGTTTGTTTCGGTTTGATTTGGTTTTGTTTTGAGTACTAGTGTTTGTGGTGGGGGTTTGGGGGTGTGTGTTCAGAAATATGTCAGTGGGATTGCTGTGGTTTTGAGTTTGGATTTGGGTATTGTGCACAGGATTTGTTAAAGTAATAAAACATATATTGGGGGTCTTTAACGAATTGTTATCAGAAAAAGACAAAAGAAATTGTAAAAGAAATTAGAAAAAAATGTTTAGATAAATTATATTCAGTTGGGTGCAGTTATCTTAAAGGTAGGGGGCAAAAGTTTTTAGTAGACACTGTTTAAGATTTGTTGTCAACGTCAACATCAATTGCAGAACTGTGAAGGGAACATCTCACATTATTTCAGGTTGCTTCTATATAAGCTTCTATAAAAGCTTGAAGCTTATATTATCATATATGTATATATAATTGTATAATAGGTTGCTGTATTTGATTGGTATGGTGATTAATTGCTTTTGTTGGTTGGTATGAATTTGGTAAGTCTTCGAGCAGCGGGCAAACGAGCGAGCGAGCAGCCTTATATATAATAATAAGATCGAGTGAGCAATAGTTACAATCCTTGATGAATAACCAATTATTATATAACGAGTGTGTGTATACTGGTGTACAGATAGAGAGACTTGCGCTTGATTTGCCCAATTATTTGCATTTTTATATATGGACATGTTTATTGTTTTTTTTTTTTTTTAGCAATGATCTCTGTGGTCTAAAGCGAAGATTTTCATATATTTCTTGAGTTATGGTAAAAATTACACGACATCCAACACATGCGCTCTGCCCTCACGAGAGACACGTTATTGGTGATTGATTGGGTAAGTGAATAAGGCATGATAGAGGTAAGATAGAGAGATATAGAATAAGACGAAATTAGCGAGATAGGTAGAAAAACTGAACGCAGGCATACGAATGATATATATCAAACTGCAAGATGTAGAAGGTACAACTTTTGACTAAAGCGATATTAGCGGAAAGTAGTAGAAAATCGATGAGTACAATTTGGAAAAGTACGTTAAAGTAGTTAGGTAGATTTACTGGATTTATTTTTATGTTATGTTATTCATAATTCACAATTGATAAATTTGGTTTTTAAATATTTACAGGTTGTTTTATATTTTTTCTTTTGGGTTAGTTAGACGGCCGCAAAGACACGGCACATTTGTATACGCATATATGTACATTTGTGATTAATCACATATACAAATTTCTGTATATACAACTTAAAGACTAGTCAAATTTACCAAAATATATTTGCATTGTTAGTTAAATTTAGTTACAGTTTTTTGTTGTTGTTTTTTAAAGATTTGCATCTGTTCAGAAGCGATTTTTAACCAATAGACGAGCTAAAGTGTGCTATGTAGGCGGTAGAAGCTATCAGAGCATAGGATCTTAAAATTTACGAGTAATTTAGGAGTTTTGTACAAAAATGAACGGCCTTGTTTTCGGTTAATGCAAATATTGTAAGACTTGCTTTGAGAAATGAATTGAAAAGTAGTAGTTGTAATTTATCTATACATACGATTTTATGAGACTTATATTCAGTACTATAGTACACTTGAACTGACAATAAAAAAAATTGATTTTAAGCATATGTGAACCATGTGTGAGAATTGTCCCGTCCACAGTTCCCAATCTGAGACTTTGTTCATTCGAGAAATGTAATAATAGATTTGTAAAATTGTTTGTATTTGTTTGTTGTTTTAGCGAAGGAAACGACAGAATGGCGCAGGGGGCAGAATAGTGGATAACAACGTTGGTTTATTTTATAGGGTACATTTTGGGGTCGGTCGGATAGAGAATAGGAGTCACAGGATGGGAATAACGGGAGCAAGGATATCGATGATAATATTTTGTTTACCGTGGGTAGCAAGGATGTGTCTAGGATTTGTTGTTTTTTAAATTATTTCTTTATAATAAGCGTTGCATTTAGTGTTGTTGTTTGTTGTTACTTTCTGCACTTTCAGTGCCCGGTTTCGGCTGTGATTAATGGCTACATATCGCTATCGCGGCATTCGATATTAACACTATACGATATTTATTAAAGATGAACCAACTTTGCTACTGATCTGTGCGTTAAACGGTTTCATAAACTTAAGGTGATGTATGCCGCAGAGCTGAGTGTGTTGCCACATGCAACACTCCAAAACATGGGTTATTAAAAGCCAATTATACGAAATTATGTGTCTGAGGCGTTGAGTATATGCTGAATGAATGCTAAATGATAATTGCAAGCCTTAAAGCTTTATGAAATTGGGCTGTCAAATCTTTAACGATAACGAAAGTTGAAAAATGCACTAAATGTCGTTTTTAATGTTTTCCGTATAGTTAATCAAAATTTGCTTATATTATTAAAATAAAGTTTTGCTGCAGTTATTTTGCGAAAAATGGGTTTTCATAAATGAATTCTAAGCACAGATTGGGTAACCGCGATAGCGACAGCAACATTCCACGATCTCCCATATGCGTTGATCTTAGCAGTGGTGGGTAGAATGTCATAAAATACTTATATATGATTATCATATGGAAACCTTCCTTAAAAACTATCACACACTTTTAAGCAAGTGCGTTGAAACTATAACTATTTAGTTTTTATTTTTATGAAACTGTTTTAAATAATTGTATTTGAGTTGTGTAGCTGTGTTTTGTTTGTGTTTTTTGTACTAGTGGGTGTGTGTGTGTGTTTGTCTATTGTGCGCGGGGATTTGATTAAAATAATCTTTTACACTTGAAAACTTGGAACATGTGTATAGGTTGTTAAATATTTAATTAATAAATTCATTAATTTAATTTATCATTATTAAAACACACACTACACTGGAACTTTGAATTAAGTTTGTTGTGGCAGCTGTAAAAGCTGTTAAATTAGTGAAATTAGCTGGTTTTAAAGTTTTTATAAACAACTCATAGCTAGATAATCAAACCAAATACATATTATAACAACAATATCGGTTTTTGTTACTGACTGAACTCCAGTTATATGTATGTCAATAATAACGGCAACAATAAACGATAATAACGCTAACTGATTACTCCAATAAAATATAGTATTAACCAACGATAACTTTGTCGGAAACGCTGGCTAACATTATTAGAATTAGCTGTATTCTAGCTACTAAAGGTACTTCAAATGACATAGACTTGGGCCACTTACCCTGCTGGCAAACATAATCATAGCCTTGGCGCACACAGTCTCCAATATCACAGCCTCGCGTGCGGCAGTCCTCTTTCGGTGGGGTCAAATGGCCTGGAAGCAGGGGATGTATATTTATTTTACTAACCCGTATTAAGTATTAAGTCACTTACAGTGCACATAGGCATCGCCGTTGGGGAAGTCCTCGGGGCAGTAACATTCGGCCTGATCGTTGCTCAGCACACGGCAGGCGGCATTTAGACCGCAGGGTTGTTCATGACAAGCATTAACCAAAGTACCTTCGCATAGACAACCCTTGTGGGCATCGCCCATGCAGCCATCCATGCAGGCACATTCGTAGCCTCCGGGTAGCTCAATGCACTTGGAATTCACGCCGCAGGGATTGTTCGAGCAGCCGCCATCTAGTGGCTGACATTCGCTGGCGGGATTGCCAAAGAAGTCCGGTGGGCATGAGCATTGGGCCTTACGATTGACCACACGACATTGCGCATTGGTGCCACAGGCTCCAAACTCGAGGCAGGGATTGCGACACTTGCCCTGATCGCAGCGTTTACTCGACTCGCAGTCGTTATCCTGTCGACACTCAAACTGTACACACTCCTTGCTTGGTTCGCCCTCATACCCGTCAGGGCAGTAGCATAGCATACGATGCTCCGACACTGTGCACAGCGCATTGCGACCACAGGCTCTGTCATCGGCACAGGGATCAACGCATTTGCCATTAAGGCAGCTCTGGTCAGCAGCGCAGTCTCCATTCGATTTGCAGCCGGCAATGCAGGCACCGCGTTCGCACAGCTGTCCCAGTGGACACTGACGCTTCGCGCCGCACTTGTTGCGGCACTTGCCACGTGCGCACTGCTGTCCACAGTCGCAGTCCTCAGTGCGGCTGCATTTTGCGGCGCAATAGGCCCCGCTTTCGTCACATTCGCAACCTGGATGACAACGCTCGGGCGGTAGCTGACAGCCGGTTAGGCCATCGCCAATAAATGAAGCTGGACACTGGCACTGGACGCCGTGATTGATGACAAGGCATTCAGCGCATTGCCCGCACTGGCCGGGTGCTTGGCAGGGATTTTGGCACTTCTTATTAACGCAAGCCTCTTCGCTGGCGCAGCTGAGATCGTTGCGGCATCCCGTTTGGCATACGCGATTCTCGCAGATCTGACCTTGAGCACAGGCGCTATCCGTGTTACACACGGTGCGACATGTGCCGCGCATACAGCGTTCATCCGAGAGGCAGTTCTGATCGTTACGGCATTTTCCCTGGCAGCTGCCCGCATAGCAAAGCTGATTTGAATCGCAGTCCTCATTGCGACCACAGGCAGTACGTGGTGCCTTGCATGCCACGTTGGCATTGCCACTGAGTCCCTCGGGGCAGCTACATTGCTTTTGATGGTCGATGGCCTGGCAAAGTGCATTGGTGCCGCAGGCAGTGGGCTCCGAGCAGGGATCTACGCATTGCTGGCCAATGCAGGCCAAATGATTGGGGCAGCCTTGGTCGGAGCGGCAGCCCGTGACGCAGTTAAGACCCAGACACAGCTCTCCATTGGCACACTCGTTATCATGGCGGCAGAGCGGCTTGCAGACACCCTGTTGGCAACGCTCATTGGTCAGGCAGCCGGCATCGTCGGCACACAGTGGACGACAGACGGACTCAAAACATGCCAGGCCATTGTTACAGTCGCGGTTCTCATGGCACTCCAGAGGAGGCGTTCGCACACAACCCACCTGGGGTGTGGGGTTGGGCACCATATTGTCCAGACAGCTGCAGCTGGCGCGATGATTTGACACCGAGCATACGGCGTTGGGTCCGCAAGGATTCTCAACGCAGGGATTAACGCACTTATCGTTGCGACAGGACTCGGAAGCGCTGCAATCGTCATCCACATGGCAGCCATAGACGCACTTGTTATGCAGACACACATGGCCCAGGAAGCAGTCGTTGTCGACACGGCAGGTTACTAGAGAAAGATGATAATTGGAGGAGTATACTTCGGCGTTTAGAAACTACTTACGCATGCAGTTGCCACGCAGGCACTTTTCATTGGAGGCGCACTCCAGATCATTGTGACAGATGGGCAGGCACATGGAGTCGCGGCAGGTGTAACCAAGCGCACAGTCACCATCGCAGGCCACCGGCACACGCACGCACTCCTTGGCTGCGTCGCCAGTAAAGCCCTCCGGGCAATGGCACTGTTTCACATGGCTCAGCATCAGGCATTCGGCATTCTGGCCACATGCCTGCGGTTGCTGACAGGGGTCGAAGCATTGACCGCCCTGACACACTTCCGATGAAGCACACTCGGTGTCAAGCAAACAGGCAGCTGTTGGTAGATTCGATAGAATTAGCAAAGATACAATTGGATGTGGCTGCCTAGCTTTTGGTTGGCGTTACGGTCTTGCCTTGTACGTGTAGTGTTGTTGTCAAGTGTATATATTGTTGTTTAGTTTACAGTTAGTCTATGCTACGGGTAGCACTGTGATCAAAGCCCGTCCAAAGTTAGACCAGAGCTGCGAGAACAGCTCTTGAAGTTGCTGCAGTATTAAGTCTTAAGCCAAAGGCTTATTATGTTCAACACCTTCTCAGGAAGAAGATATTCTTCGCTAAGCTGGCTTTGTATGCATACCTTTTGACTAGGAACACAACCCACAACAAGTATTTGTGCTAGTTTGTAAGTGAGTAAGTAGTTAATTAAGTATGTGGCTAGTTGGTAGCTGGTAAATGTCTAGTAGTCGGTTTTAGCCACTCGGGTTTTTGCTCGGGTTGGTGTTTGGTGTTAGTACTTACGTTTACAGACGCTATCTGAGCAGTATGTGTTGGTGGGGCAATCGCTAGTGATTTGGCAGGGCATTGGCAATGGCTTGCAACCGGCCAGCCGGTCAGCGGGTTGGCCGTCGTAGCCATTGCGGCATGCACAGTGCGCCACATGACCTTTCGGAACACATTCCGCATTGGGGCCACACTGCAGCTGAGCGCACACATCCTGGCATTTGGGTACTCCGTTAGTCTTGGTGCATGCGGCATGCGGGGGACAATCGTCGTGCGTCTCGCACTCGACGGAGCTGCGGCAACCCTCGTTGTAGGGATCGCCGACGAGACCAGGTGGACAGGTGCATTTGTAGGAACCACGCGAATTACGACAACGGGCGCCGGGTCCGCACGGTGCGTCCTTACAAAAGTCAATGACATCACAACGGATGCGCGGATCACCACTGAAGCCGGGCTGACAGTGGCACACCTGATGATGATTCTCGGTAGTGCAAAGTGCATTCTCGCCGCACGGCTGCCCAATCAAGCAGGCGATCTTGCACATGTGATTGTCGCAGCTTTTATCGTTGGAGCAGTCAGCATCGGTGCTGCACTCGATCTTGCGGCAGCCTGAGCGGGCATCCCCAAAGAAACCCTCCTTGCATATGCAGTCGGGCTCATGGGAGCGCGCAATGCATTCCGCGTTGCGTCCACAGGCAGAGCGTCCAAGGCAGACAGATTCACATCGAGCACGTCCAAAGGCATCGACAAGGCAAGTTTCATCCTCGCCGCAGTCGCTATTAACACTGCACTCCATTTCTTTGACGCAAATGTTGTTTTGGCAGAACTGGAACTGTGGACAGGTGGTGTTCGTCTTGCAGGTGCTCTTGCAGACGCCCTGCAGACATAGCTGTTCCGAAATACAATCGCGATTACTGCTGCATAAAGGACTGCAGATTCCGTGCGCACAGATGCTGCCCTGTGGACACTGAGTGTCTTGTTGGCAGTATTGAAGCGGCACACAGCCTTGTTTCGCATCTCCAGTACTGCCCGATTCGCACGCACAGACTCCAATATGATTCTGCACCGAACATCGAGCCAGTGCACCACAGGCATTCGGGAGCGAACAGGGATCAATACACTTGGCATCTAGGCAGGCCTTATCAGCGCCACAGTCGCCATTGTCAGCGCACTCGATGTGCACGCATTCTACTTGCGGATCACCACGCGAGTTGGCGGGACAGCTGCAAATGGCATTGTGGGACTGGGCTAAGCAGTTTGCATTTAGCCCACAAGCGTTTTGGCGCTCACAAGGACTACGGCATCGGGAGTTCTGGCAGCTGGCCGTGGTCGGGCAGTCAGCATCGCTGAGGCATTCGCTGGGATCGCGACAGCCCGCCTGCAGAGGATCACCAATTAGTCCCTCGGGGCACTTACAGTTGTAGCTGCCGGGCAGATTGTCGCAGAAAGCTGTGCTATGACAAGGCTGGTGTAGGCACTCGTTGATATCCTCACAAGCTCCATTGATAAGCTGGTAGCCTTCGTTACATTCACATACGGCTTTGTGATCTGACACCTGGCAGCTGCCCTTACCGCAGCTGATTAGGTCACATGGTTTGATGCATCGATTAGTCTCCGCATCACAGGCGCGATCACTTGCGCAATCCACATGATCAATGCACTCTACTTTAAAACAACCGACACCGGTGTCATTGGGATCGCCCAGATAGCCAGCAGGACAGGTGCACACTGACTCATGGGCTTCCGCCTGGCATTGGGCATTGGCTCCACATACCGTGTGCAAACAAGGATCCGTGCACTTGCCATGAATACAGGACAAGCTATTGGCACAATCGTCAGGCTTGTTGCACTCTCTTGGCTTTGTGCAACCCTGTTGTGTGTAACCATCTCCAACGGTGCCCTCCGGACAGACGCAACGATAAGAGCCAGGCACATTTTCACATTTCGCGGTGGCATGGCATGGCTGCTCCGTGCACTCATCAATATCCGAGCATCCAAAGGGTGTGCCAATAAATCCATTGGCGCATTTGCACTTTCCACTTAAACATAGCTCGGTAGGTGGACAATCCGCATCCGATTCGCAGCCAGGCTGGCAGGTGCGATCGCTGTTGCAGATCTCGCCCGCCAGACAATTGTTGCTAGTGTAGCAGACCTTTCTGCAGACCTGCTGGTAGCATCGTTCTCCCACGGCGCAGGCGGAGGTCTTGGTGCAGGGCAGATTACACTGATTGCCAATGCACATATGACCGCTCGGGCACTGGTTACTGGCGAGACACGGAGAGGGCACCCGCACGCAACCCTGTTCGGGTGTTGGGTTGCCCTCAAAGCCATCCGGGCAGGTGCATTGACTGCGATGCTGGGCAATGCTACAGAGCGCATTGGGTCCGCAGCTGGTGCTTGATTGACAAGGATCCATGCACTTGTTGCCAATGCACGACTGCTCCTGCTTGCACTCCTTGTTGCTGCGACAGCCGATAGCGCAGTGACCCTCCATACAGGCCAAGCCCTTGGCGCACTGGCTGTGATCCAGGCAGGCGACAACGCAAACATTCCCAAAGCAGCTCTCACCATCAGAGCAGTCCTGTGTGTTGCGGCATGCCACGCGGCACTGGCCATTGTAGCACAGCTCTCCTCCACAATCGACGTCTGTGAGACACTTGGACGCACTACGTGCGCAGCCGTTCTTTGCAGAGTCGGAGATTGGCTGGAATCGCAGCGGACAGCTGCAAACCGCTTTCCGATTGACCACCTTGCAGTCCGCATTGGCTCCACAGGCATTATCGCAGGGATTTAGGCAGCGCCCTCCAGCGCAGATGGTATTTACCGGGCAGTCAGCATCGCCATTGGGGCACTGTCCATCTGGACGGCAGCCTCTCGTATTGGGTTCAGGCTCGCCCACAAATAGGGGTGGACACTTACAGCTGGCGCCGTCGGGCGTGACCTCACAGATTGCCGTGGGATGGCAGCTTCCAGGCGCACAGCCATTTTGCTTAACGCAAGACACCTCAGGCAGTGGGTTTCCACGGTAGCCGGGTGGGCACTGGCAGACGGCGCGATGATCTTCGGCCAGGCAAATAGCATTTTCACCACAGGATTCCTCATCGCACACATCGTAACAGGTGTGCGTCATGCGGTTGCACATTTGATTAGTTGGACAATCATGGTTGTAGACGCAGGGCACGCTCTGGCAGCCGTTAAAGGGATCGTACGGATCACCTGCGTAGGGGCCTGGTGGACACTGGCACTGAGCCTGATGATTGTTCGTGATGCAAACGGCACGTGGTCCACATTTGACGCTGTCACAAGCGGAACGGCAGCTCAACGACTGCGTGGACTCGTCCTTAATGCACGCTTCCGATTCGGGACATTCAGCATTACTACGGCACTGATGCTTGCGCTCCAACTGGCAGCCATTGCGATCGTTGGGATTTCCCACAAATCCGCTTAGGCAATCACAGCGTCCTTGATGATGGCGGGCAACGCAAATTGAGTTGGCCGGACAAGTGAAGGCATCGCAGATGGCAACACACTTTAGCACACCTAGTACGTCAGGGCGGCAAGCGGAGCCATCCGGGCAGTTCTCATCACTGGTGCAGTCGGGTAGCGAAGGCTTCTCGCATGAGGAGACAACTGGATTCCATACGAAGCTATCCGCACAGTTGCAAATGGCGTGTCCGGCTGGATTGATCTTGCAAAGCTCGTTGGGACCACAGACAACGTTGGAGCACAAATTAATGCATTCGCGACTGCCTAGTGCGTCGGTTTGACAGCCAAAACCACGTTTGCAATCCTTGTCCGTCTTACATGTATTTTCAAGATCGGGAACCTTGCGTTCCGGCTGGCAGCCTACTTGTAAATTGCTCGGATTTCCAAAGTATCCGTCGGCGCAAATGCACGAGGAACGATGATCATCAGCCACACATAGCGCATTGGGACCGCATTGAATCTTGGAACAGGCATCCACGCACTTGCGCAAGCCCTTACCCAGCTGGAAGCAGATCTCCGTGTGGCGGCAGTCCGCATCGTTGCCGCACTGACCGCGTATACTGCAGCCTTGGCTCAGATCAAGCGGATCTCCCACATAGCCCAGCGGGCACAAACATTTGCCCGCATCGCAAATAGCACGCGGCCCACACGCTGTGTTGGAGCATAGATTCTTGCACTGGCCACCTTGACAGCTGTAGCCATCGGGGCATTCTACGCGCTCGCTGCACTGACACTGGCTGGCATCCTGACAGAATTTGCTCTCAATAGGCTGGCAGCTGCTGTATGGATTGCCGGCATGGCCGGATAGACAGAGACACTCAAAGCTACCCGCTGTGTTAAGGCAGGCAGCGTTTAGACCGCACGGCTTGTTGACGCACTCGTCCACATCCTGGCATCCCACATAGGGGTTGCCGTTAAATCCTTGTGGACATATGCAGGTAATCTGATTATCCGCACCACGGCACTCGGCATTCGGTCCGCAGCTGTTTGGTTGGCAGACATTCTTTTTCTGGGCGCCGCATCCCTCGTAGGGATTACCAAAGGTGCCTGGGTTACAGGCGCAACGGCTCTGGCCTAGTCCATACTCGCAATGCGCATTTTCGCCGCAGCTTGGCGAGCATTTGGCTTGTTCGATGGGTGGCATGCATAGCAGATCAGGATTGCCCACAAAGTTAGGCTCACAGACACATTTACCGTTGTTCTTATCGCAGGTGGCGCCAATGCCACAGACAACGCCCTCGCAGCGTTCCTTACAGCGTCCATTAATGCAGATCTGACGCTCATCGCAGGGTCTAGAGGCAGTGCACTGATCAGTGCTGCAGCTTCCGCCCGGGAAGGGATTGCCTAAGTAGCCCTGTGGGCACTTGCAGGTGGGTCCCTCGCTGGTGGGTATGCAGAGTGCGCCATCACCGCAGATGATATCCTGGCACTGCGATACACAATCGCCATCGGCATTCTTGACGAAACCTACACGACACCGGCACCAGCCTGCATGCTGTTCCGTCTCGCAATAGGCGTTGGAGCCACATAGCAGACTGGCGCAGGGGCTGAGGCAGCTGCCATCCAGACAGGCTAGATTGCTAGCGCAGTCTTCGTTGTTGAGGCAGGTGCTCTTTGGCACGCCGTTCTCCAGTATGCAACCACTCTTGTAGGGATCACCGGTGAATCCCTTGGGGCAGACGCACTGGTAGCCGCCCTTTTTGTTGACACAGTAGGCACCATAGGCGCAGGGCAAGTGGGCGCACTCATCTTCATCGGTGCATCCGAGGAGCGGGTCACCTTTGAATCCCGCTTCGCACATGCACTGCGGTGGATCGGAGGGCGTGCACTTGGCATTGATGCCACAGGCGAACCGCTCACAGGGACTCTTACATTTGTTGTTATCCTGTGGATCCAGAAAGTAGGGCGGTGGGCAAACACATTCGCCTGGCTGTATACATTTCTCATTGCTGGCGCACTCCTTGTCAGCAGCACACTTTCGCTGTGCCGGCGCGCAGAGTCCATTGTACGCATCTCCTTGGTAGCCCTCGGGGCAGTGACAGCTGTAGCCGCCCTGTTGGTTGACGCATTGAGCGCCATAGGCGCATAGCTGAGCACCACGTTCCTCGCACTCATTGACATCTATGCAGCTTCCATCCGGCTGGGTTTGGTAGCCCTTGGGGCAGGCGCAGTAGCTAACACCACCCGCTATAGAAATGCACTCCGCACCGCTGGGGCATGGCTGTCCACTGGAGCAACCAGCCAACACGCAGCTGTTACCGAGCAGCTTATACGGTGCTTGGCATTGGCACTCGGGACTGCTGCAGATCTCGCACATGACGAAGGGATTACCGGTGTATCCTTGTGGACAGCGACACTCGTAGCTGCCTGGCAGATTTTTACAGAGTGCATTCAGGCCACACGCAGGCTTTGCGCGCTGTGCTCCACACTCATCAAGATCCTGGCACTGGCCACTTTCGGGATTACGCTCATATCCTTGGCGACAAATACAAACACTGCTGCCTGTAAATGTATCCTGAACACAGCTTTCGCCTAAGGCACACGGACTGGTGTCGGAGCAGCCTACAGTCTTGGCTGTGGCGCAGCCTTCGCCATAGGCATCACCAGTGGATCCACCTGGGCATTGGCACAAATACCCGCCGGCTGTGTTGCTGCAAATTGCATTGGCAGCACAGGGATTGGCGCGGCACTCGTCGATATCACTGCATCCTCCTGGTAATGCTGCATTACCCGTATAGCCTGGCGCGCAGAGGCATTGTGCTTGTCCATTGGCCAGCATGCACTGAGCATGGGCGCCGCAGTCGCGCGTCTCGCAGGGATGTCGACAATCGTTGCCAATATTTGGTTCCGGGCACAGACAGCGTTTGGTCTCATCGCAGATGGCATTTCCGGGGCACTGCTCGTTGGTGGCGCAGCTAACGATGGGAACGCAGCGCACTGAAGGATCCGGGTCTGGAAGTGTGCCCTCAGGGCAGCGGCAAGTATAACCGCCTCCTGGCATATTGACACAATCAGCACCAGCTCCGCATTTACCACCCGCTCGGCACTCATCCACATCTAGGCACTTGCTGTGTGGATCACCCGAGTAGCCGGGTGGACAAGCGCAACTATAGCCACCTGGTGTGTTGGTGCAGCTGGCATTCTGGCCACAGCTACCGAAGGGTCCGTGCAGCACATCGCACTCATCAATATCCACGCATCCGGCGGCTACATCACTCGGATTATAGGTCCATCCATCCTCGCAGACACAGTACGCTTCGTTCTGATCCGGCTTGCAGTAGGCATGAGCACCACAGTGCACATCCTCGCAGGGCTGCTTGCAAGCCATTCGCGGAGGGCTGCCAACGTAGCCGGCTTCGCAGTCGCATCGATAGGAACCGGGCGTATTCAGGCATTGGGCATGAGGGCCGCAGGCCTCTGCGTGAGTGCGACACTCATCAATGTCTACGCAGCTGGATCCAATGGGTTCGAATCCGTCCAAGCAGAAACACTGGTTCTCAATGCACTCAGCATTGTTGGTGCAATCAAAGTTGCTGTGACATAAAATGTTCACATCGACTTGTTCGCAGGCCACTTTTGGATCGGGCTTTCCATCATAGCCCTGCGGGCATTTGCAATTGTAGCCCGGCACGGTATTTTCACAGATCGCATGCTGTCCACATGGCTTATCCAGTGCGGCGCATTCATCGATATCCACACAGCCGCGGAACGGATCACCGGTGTAGTCCGGTTTGCACGAGCAAACGAAGCTGCCGACGGTGTCCGTACATATCGCGTTTTCTCCGCACGGATTATCCTGGCATTCGTTGATGTCTGCGCACGTTCACGGTCATGTTGTGCAGGGGGTGAGGGGTTGGTGTTTTTGAGGGGAGTAGGCAACGCGTGTTTATTGGCGTGTTTTGTAGCGTTTTTGTTTCGGGTCAAGAAGGGAGGCGTTAAATATATTGTAATTAATTAAATTAGTAATCAAATCAAACAATACAATGTTATGAAATATGTGAAATTATAGCGTGAAAGTCGGGGGAGCTGGTGTTGGAAAAAGTTTGTGGATTGGGAAATAGAAGACTGAAGGAAGCTGTCTGAGTAGCAAAGGAAGCGGAAATAAAAGCGAGGTTTGGAAGATCTCAATACTTGTAAAAAAGCAGCTGAAAGCGTATGACGAAAGGAAGCACAGAGTAAAAAAGAGTAAGAGAGCAGCTGCTAAAGCTTACAAAAGCCATGCGAAATTGTAGTTGCGTTTTGCAAGCCTAAGCAAAGCTGTGAAGCTCTTTATATTATAAAGTAGAGATGAGCGCTTGCCAAAATACAAAACAAACAACATTTGGATTCTAAACGTAAAAATTTGAAGAAATTGCAATATCAAGTTACATTTAATTTAATTATTTTCATTTAATAATAGAAAATTGCTCTATTTTTATTCTAATTATGATCGTGTGTTACTTTATCGTATCTTGACGCGCAGCCATCTCTGAGCCGATAGCCAAATTCTCAGTTAATGAGAATTGAACTTTCTGACTTTCTGGCAAAACATGCAAACAGGCAAATACTAACTCTCGCAGTGCAAATAGCCCTGTCCTTGAAATCCGCTTGGACAGAGACAGCGATATGAGCCTGGGAAATTTATGCACTTGGCATTGGTACCACATTTGGCCACACCATCCGGCTGATTGCACTCATCGATGTCCAGGCAGGCCAAGCCGGCGCCCGATGTTGGGGCTGGTGTTATCAGTGTATCGCCATCGGCATAGCCCAGTTGTAGTGTGGGTGTGGCCACCATTGGCGCCTCAGCGTGCGGATCATGCTCAAGCACAAAGCCCAGTGGACAACGACATTGAAAGCTACCGCCCAAGTTCACGCATTGAGCACCCATACCGCATGGATTGTTAATGGCGCATTCATCGACATCTGCTGGCGTTTATTCGTGTTAGGCATTAATAATATTAATGAATCAAATTGCGGTGCATTTATGTTGCATGTATGTATGTGCGTGGTGTAGTGCATGTGTGCGTATTCGGCCAAAACAATAGTGCAAAAATTTTCAAAACATGATGGCAATATGTCAAATATGATAATAAATTTTTCAGCGTATATATTGTACTCACCCTCGCAGCCGTGCATCGGGTCACCGCTGAAGCCATCGGGGCAAAGGCAGCGAAAGCTGCCATCCGTATTTAGGCAATCCGCATTGCGTCCGCATGGCGTGCGTGCGCATTCGTCCAGATCGACGCAGCCCTGTTCGGCGCGTCCATCGCCATCGTATCCCGGCGGGCAGTTGCAGCGATAACTGCCCTCGAGATTCGTACATATGGCACCTGGTCCGCACACGTTCGGATATGCGCATTCATCAACATCCTGACAACCGTCATAAGGATTGCCCACAAAGCCTTCGGGGCAGGCGCACGTGTGGTTGCCGGGCGTGTTGATGCACTGGGCATGGGCACCACAGGCCAGCGGATTGCTGCACTCGTCGATGTCCGTGCACAGCACCTCGCCGTCTCCCGTATAGCCGTCCTTGCACTTGCACAGGAAGTGCGCCGGCAGATTACAGCATTCGGCATTCTCCACGCAACGCAACGCTATCGCCGGATCTTGGCATTCGTCAATGTCTGCAACAACAATCATAATAGAAAAGGCATGATTAATCGAGTGTGCTTGGACACAAATGAGACGCAATTAAAAACTAAAAGCCCTACCAAACGAAAGACTTAAGCTACAAACTTGCTATCATGGCGGCGTTCTACGCATTTGCCGCTCGACTGCGCATCGCATGTAGCTGCGATGTTGGCCCATCTGAACGACCCACCACTAAGTGGCTTTGGCATTTGAAATTTGCATGTTACGCATGACATTTCAGTGTCATCTATATGACTGTATATATTTATGTGGAGCTAAGCCAAACCAAGCAGCAATGTCAATTCGCACAGGATGCACCAGTTGCATACATTTACCAAACCAATTAGATCTCCAGCCTGCAGTGTGCACAGTGCAAGGCCATTGACAACGAACCGCAATTTAGTTTATTCGAGCACAAATTATGTTTAATATTTATTTAGTTTAATTAAATATCATAATTTGCCTTCAAGCACATTATGATTTAAATGAGCTAATTGTTATCTTCTTTTATAGTTTTCATTATAAATTTAAGTACATACTGTTTACTGTTTAATACATTTTTTTTTTGTAAGTTAGTTGTGAGTCGAGATTAGAGCACTAGTGATTAAGATACACTCAAAATCTCTCATAATTAGATAAATCATTGATCAAATTTTCCTTTTTCCCTTTCAGATGGATAGTGAAGCTTAATTAATTTGGGAACTTAATTGGGTAAGTGATCGCCAAGATCTTAATCAATTATTAAAATCTTTGCTTTTGTTTTTTTTTTTTTTTAATTGGGAATTTTGGTTTGTTTTGAATTTAGTTGCTTGATTTTGCTTGAGGACGGTGCTTATTAATTGAACGTATCCATAGTCACCTCATGCGGAAGCACCACATTGAGCTTTCCGATACAAAAGCATACAGAACATTGAGATTCAATCGAATACCCCTGAAGCCATTGAAGCGGCAACTGGCAAAGGGCTAACTGTGGGCCATTGCTAACTATGGGCCATTAATCATTGGGCTTATGGATAAGAGATGTTGTACATTTATAGCTAATATGACATAAGTACAAAAGTTGGCAAAAGCCAAAGACAAGGACGTGTACAGAGAGAGAGATGTGTGTGAGTGGAGTGCCTTGTAATTATGAGCAGTCGAGCATGTTGCGCAGTTATAATTACTAGTTTTTAGCTTATAAATTAAGAGGATCATCACTCTAAAACTGGTATTCCCCCCACCAACTCTATCTCTCTCTCCGTATCCAACTGATATGGCTGCATTCCATGATTTGCTGCTGCAACGCCAGCAATTGCTAACTCTGATTACTCAATGTCATCGTCTTCGTTCGCCTGTCTGCCAGTTGGCAGTTGGCAGTTGGTAGCGTTGGCCAGAAGTTTAGCCAGAAGCAGGAAGCATTCTATGTTCTTCTAAGTTTCAATGTCAGCTTAATTACTTTATGCAATGCGGTTACTGAAGGCTGAGACAGAAGGTTGTCCAGGCAGCCCAGTCCCAGTCCCAGTCCTAGGCCCAGGCTTAGGCCATTGACCAAAGGCCATTGGCCATCTGGTTATGGCTCCTGCTGCCAGCTTTCATATTTTACAGTACGCTAGACGTCAGGTGCAAAATTCAATTTATTTGCGCCTCAGCAACTAATTATAATATAGATTTTTGGGGCAAAGTTCTACTCCATTCGATGTGGGCGTGGGCCAGCCTTGGGCTAAATGTTGTAGCTCTCCGGTTGAAAACCAATCAAATATGCGTGACTAAATGTAATTAAGTTGAATGCATGTTGAAAACGATGCTGACATAATTCTCTCGTATTCTCAGCCATACGCGGCTCAGATTTCCGGCTGGCTTCGGAATTTGAGGCTTGATTAGAACCACTATTTTTCGAGTGGCATTTGAAGAAGTTAGAAATTGTTTCACTGGGAACTGACAGTTTTAATACCCTTGGTAAGGCTATTTTAACGGTGACATGAAATGAGTAACGTTGTTTTGTACCTTTTAAAATATGATACTTTTACTTTAATTTACTTGCCATTAAAGCATTTGGCCCCCCCAAGCCAAGAGGGTATGTGAACTAGGAGACTCAAGGCTATATGTCAAGCCTCTCTGTAATATGAGTTTAAAATTCGATTATTTTACCACATAGCTGACAGGGTCGCCTAGAGTATCAAATATTCGTCATCTCCTATATTGCCATTCTGGTTGAATTATATAACAATCAAGTTTAGTCGGCTTGGCAAACATTCTGCACTTTGTTTAACTGCACTAATCAACACTTATTAGCAGTCGTCGCTGTTCGAGTATTGTAAAATGCTAAACAAAAATCTACATAGATGATAAAGCATGGTCTGGCCTGTTATATGTCGTCTGGTCTAGCTGGCGTCCATCTAATAAATCTATGTAATTGTTCAACTAATTAGCATTTGCAATTTGTTGTTGCTTTTTTATTTGAGTTATGACATTCGTGCCACAAATTTTTGCACTATTTTTGCAGATACCAGTCGCATATTCGAGTATGTGTATTCGCTTATAGAAAAGCAGCAATTTACGAGCGGACATGACTTTCATGCTCGACTGCTGTACGCTGATGGGTTGCTCTCAAAAAAAATAGAAACAGACAGAAACACACAAAACTCAAAAGTCTATGTGGCTAATTTATGGTAAAGCATAACTAACTAACATTTGAACTTGAGCAAAAACTGAAGCGAATAAGAAACAATTTAAAATGCTCATGTCGCGAGTGCTCGACTAGCGATACCCTCAGCAAAGTTTTGAAGTTACCTTGTTACATGTTCCTGATCATAAGCACATACAAATGGAAAAAACCTATGCACACTTTTAAACTAATTAGTATCAAGATTCAAACATTTTAAGTTGAGTAATAAATTGGATTTTTTGTTATTGTATATGCTAAAGAAAAATGGCGCAGATATCTTGACTGATCTAAGATAAATATATATAGGGCGAAAACGCCATCTAAATAGCGCGTACAGGGTATTAAACATGTATAAATAGTGCATAACATGAGGGCAAAATAAAATTAGCTATTAAATTTGTGGCGCAATTATGCGTTAAGTATGTAAGGCAAAAAGATCAAGGTCGGGGCCGACAGTCGGCCCAGTCAAGTGATGTCAGCCGGCGTCGAAGTTGAAGTCATGGGTGGCTCAATTGGCAGCGCCGCCTACTGGCTGCGTAAATGTGGCAACATGCTGTGATGGACGGGCGATGAGGAGCGAGGGGCTTCAGCTATAATGAGGCGTGTCAATGCCGACGCCTTAAGACATTTTCTTGGCTTATCAGCGGCAGCCACGACACGGCAATTAATTGCTGCCATTTTTGATATGCAAAAAGTGCAAAGTACCAAAAGCAAATATACATACATATATATATATTCTCTATACCCGATATATAGGTCTATACTGCAGATTAAACACGTTCGTTTTATAAAAGCTAGCGACTCTTATCAGCTGACGTTGATCAGAAACTGTGCGTCGAACTGGCTGTAGCTCTTGTAACTGGGAGCTGGAGCTGGCGTTGAAGGCAGTGCTGTTTGCGGCTTTTGAGGACAGCATTAAGCGCCGACAATGCTACCGCCTCATGCGTTGCCAATGCCGCTAAAGCTGCGCTACGTGGGCCACAATCTATTTTATCCGTTTTAATGATCTGCCCCAGTTAGCGAAACGAAAGGGAGCAGCCGCCTCGTGAACGTGGCAAACAAACTAAAAAAATATCAACAAGAACAACACATAACAAACACAGCAAGAGAACAACAACAGCTGCAACAACTTGTAAGATTATTTTGTGTTGTTGCTGTTGCTCTTGCTGTTGCAGTCTCTTGACTGCCGCAAAAATGGTTATAAATTTAGCACTCAACTCGAGGTACTCACTCCATTTTTCTGGTTGGCGCGTTGCAAGACAAATGCATTAGAAACAGCTATTGACTTGCCACAAACTAACAAACTGGCTGCCAATGTGTGTGTGTGTGTGTGTGACTTTTGTGTGTGTGTTGCATTTTTGTCTTTCCCGTCTTCAGACTTAAGGCTTCATTGCATAACTGGACTTTGGCGTTGCGTTAACGAAGCCATCGCCAAATGCACGCATCTGAGTTATGAACATGAAATAATGCGAATGTGCCACCAGGTCTGCAACAGGTGGCAGCCCCACTTCATACCGTTAGACCTGGCAGCCAAACAGGTAGGCGCATAATCTCCTGCCACGCAAAATGTGTCCCCAGCTACACTCAAATGTGGGGGGAGAACTGGCTAGGCTAACTTAATGCTGGCCATGATTTCTTGCAAAGTTTATTGGGTGAACTTGAGAAAGCAATGAAAACTGGATATATACGAGTATATAGTCAACAACAGGCGGCTAAATATGTTTGCCAGTGCCATAGAATATAGATAGTTGTGGACTGCCTAATTTATTAATGCGCTGGAATCTATTTTAGCTATAAACCTAGTATAAGCATAATGAAGAAGGTATTTTTGCGATTATGCCGAAATATTCGTTTCATATTTCATATTTTATTCAAACAACGTAATTTTTGTGCAATAAATCCGTTGACTGATTGTCCCTATTTATGTGGTATATGAAGCCGATCCGATTGAATTTAACTTGTTCAAAAATTGACAGACTAAAAACAGAAAGCCGTACGACATGATTTTATTGACTGTGCTTGTTGGCTTAGCTTTGCATATAATAACTTTAAAAGGAGGTCCTTTTTTCGATATGTGAAGAAATAATAATAGAAGGGTGACAAACGGCACATCATGGAAAATGTGATTAACTTTCCTTAAAGCTATAATCGCGTTTAGTTCAATAATAGTTATAAAGCTGTGGGCACTGGAAATTTTTAACAGTGGGAATTCTAAGTCAACTTGCGAATAATTTAAAGTAATTAAGTACTAATGTAGCGTCGTTTTGAAGTCAATTCATCAAGATTTAATTAGATATACTCGTAGTGGCGCTGATTCGCTGCAGTTGGTGGGAAAGCCGAGAGTGCGTGTTAGTGGCATTCAAGTGGGGTTCAAGTACTTATTCCACGCATATGGGTAGACGAAACTTTCTCAGCATATTTAAAACAGGTTGATTCAAATGATTACAGACAATTTGAGATGTTCTGTAGAACTCAGACTGAGGCTTCGTTCTGGCGTAATGAAATGCATCATGAATACGTGTAATAGGTGAGAGAAGAAACGTTGGGGAACGGAAAGGAATTAGATAATGCTCGTATGACTGAAATGCGATGCTGGCGTCACATGCCACTGGCCAGAATTTATGCATGCCTGCCGGTCGTTGCAAACTGTGACTCCACCCTACTTCCCCTCCCGCACCAGTCGCCTGACAGTCGCTGCGAGAGCTCGTCACATGTAATCTAGAATCTCGGCAACGTCTTCATACTTAGTGGGGTAATGCCAGAGCGTTTGTGAAATTTGCGCTCGTTATCGCATTGTATCGTCCGAAACGGGAAGCGGGAAGAGGCATCAGCAGCAGCCGCAGCCGCAGACGTAGCCGCAGCTAGACACATGCTCTTGAGTGTTGAAAGTTCTGGCGTGTCCATGTTTGGGGTCAGATTACATGACACTGATTCCACGTCTAACAGACGTGTGTGCTCGTAGGTACGATTATGTCTATGTCTGTTCCATGGCGCGAAAGCATTGCTACAAATGTTCGTGGTTTTCTTTCCTGCTGCGGCCACCGCCACCGCCACCACCACAGCCACCACCATCATTACAATCATCATCATCAACCTGGGCGGGAGCAGCAGCAGCCGCTATAGGAAGAGTTTCGCGGTAAGTGGTACCTCGCTTAGAATCTTCTGCTTTTCAAGTTATTATTGTAGTTTTTAGATTTTTTCGTGCTCTTTTTCCTTTGTGGTTCCATAATGTGTTTTCATTACGCAACATTAGGCCCAGTCCAATTATGGCTGCCAGTTTTTCACTGTCGAATAGGTAAGGCAACAACAGGTGCGCCGAAGGGTTTTCGGACCCACGCTGTGAGCAATTTAAAGAGAACAAGTAGATGAATCAAGCTCATTAACCCGAGACCTGTATTTGAAACTATATCAGTCTGGAGAAGAGTATGTGGGGACTCCAATAGAAGCAGAAAAAGGAAGCCAGAAAGGGGAATTTATCAATGTTATAAGAAGAATATGACATATATATACTCTATAATATTAACATTTAAACATTGAAAATGCTTAAAATCAGTGAGTAATTCAAAGCACAAACTGGAAGTTCACGTAAGGACCAGCAAAAGCCATATCAAATTCTTGCACTTTGTCATAGTAAAATCAGAAGAGGGCATTTATTTATCCTATAGGAATAATAAAATATATTGATATATAACATAAAAATTTAAAGCTACTTGAAAGTTGTAAAACTCATCTAAAGTGTTTTTATTATTAAGCAATACTCTTTGGCACTCAAAGGTTAAAGCTGAAAGCTCCATCGCATTATTGATAAAGAGTTGCAATTCTATTGGACCATTAGAAAGCCTTAAACTGAAACTTGGATGATATAATACTGGTTCTAACGGCTTCGTTTCCCTGCGTCTCTTTAGTTTCAATGCTCGCAACTCGGACAATAACAGACTCATAACAAAGACGCTATAAGGTACGCTAGTGTAATCGCTACACGGTCGTTATTATTGCCTCGCTGGATAAGTATACAGAGGAGATTCCATTGCTGGGCCATTGTAAGCTGAGGGAAAAGCTTTCATGTTGTTATTGTTGTTGCTGTTTTGATGGCCGGCGCGTCTTTTGTTACATTTTCAAATAGAGGCTGGGTACTTGAGACGATTGAAACGGCTTGACTTGAAGAGATTTCCAGCGAAATAAACCGTTAACATTAAGATCTATGAGTAACCTAGACTAAATCATGGTCTGGCAGGCAGAGTGGCAGCGGCAGCGGCAACTAACCAGGCACAAATAATATAACAGACGTTGACGGAAGTACAAAACGGCAACAACAATCATTTGTACTGTTGTCGGGTCTCGGTGGTTGTTGGATCTGGTCGGTCATTAAGCTTATGCTAACAACATGGCTGGCACTTACCTTCACAATGGAAACCATCGCCGCGATAGCCCGGAAAGCAGGTACACGTGAAGCTGCCCAATGTGTTTGTGCAATGGGCAAACACATCGCATGGACGCTGCTTGCATTCGTTCTCATCTGTGAAGGAGAGTGGGTTTACGGTTATGTAAGATGAGACAAGCCCACATTGTTCGAGGAGTGCAGTTGAACTTACCCGGATCGACGCAATTGCAGCCGCCAAAGCCGTCATTGCAATGGCAAACACCATTCAGGCAAACACCATTTGTGCACTGTGTGCCATCCTTATCACAGTCATCTGTGGAAGAAAATCAGTTTATCTTTCAGTAAACCCATTCCATAAGGTCGTGGTGTGGCGGGGTCTGTTGATACTTACTTGTGCATTTGAGCTCTTTGCTCAGCTCATCGGAACCAAGAAAACAGTCTTGATTACCGTCGCATATTCTCGATAGATCGTATAGTTGCAAATAGTCTGTAGACTCATTAACTTGGCAGCCAAAATATCCATCTTCGAGATTCAGAAAGAATACTTCGCCTCGAAATCGACTATGCTTGTTTGGATTTGTCTTAAAGGGTTGTGTTTGTTGGTGTTGTGAATGTACCTGGCAAGCGAAAAAGTATTTTTGATTAATGAAGTGTTTAGTAAAACGAAAGAGATTAGACTCAAATTTTTGGTTGGCTGCTCAATTTTGTATTTTGATGTATATACTTAAAATATTCCGGATAAAGAGCATATTTTTATCCCAGCTCACAATTGATACATATAATTTTAAATAGAATTGTGATCCTTGACATGGCCTATCGCCGGTTATATAAACAGTACTAGCTACACCGCTTCAAAATGGATTTATACGCGGAAAGGAATAGTTCGCCATTGTACATTTGCTTCAAAATTACTTCATCTAGGACATTAAAGTTTGTTAGATAAATCTGGATACTAATATATATACTGCCCAGCCCCAGATCAGTAAACTGATTTTGTGTATTCTGAGTTTCAGTTCATTTCGAAGCTCAGGCTCATCTGGAAACTGATATCGTATATTTTAGATTTCTAAAATAAAGTTGTCAAATTTCGGACAGTTCTCGCCCCAAAGCTTAACCTCATTTTCAAAAAGGCAGCAGCAACCTTCGGATTGTTTACTAAGTTTCGTTCGAATTTTGTGCTTTTAGTGGGACTCGAAACTAATTTAAATTCAAATTAGATACAGTAAAGTTAGCAGGCGTATCAACGTCAGAGCTTCTTCAACGAGATTTCCTAACCAACAGCGGCAGCTTGATGCGGTCCATATGGGCAGCATGTTCATACAGGTTTGCATTCAAAGCTACGTAGATATATCGTCTTGTGCTGTGTGTTGTTTTGCCAACGCTTAATTGTTACACTTGGCTGATTTTACTTTTATAAACACACAAAACCAAAAGTTGTTTGCCATATTTTCTCAGTATGCTTGTATACCTTTGTCTAAGTGTGTGTGTCTGGTGCCTGAGTGACTGACTGACTGACGGTACGGTTTGTTACTGTTACCAGCGCTCAACATTAGATGGCTATGAAAACGAGTTTGTCACTTAAGACCTTTTTGCGCTACTGCAAAAGGAATTAAAACAAGTTTCATTTGGGTAACACATTGTGGCTCTTATATTTCGCATAATTTTTTTGTCCGATTTGTACTCGCAGCGCGATCAATTTTTACTTCCTACGTTTCGGCGTTCCATTCCAATGTAATCATTTTATGGCAGAGTCGAGTTTGAGTTCCTGCTACGTTTATGATGGCATCTGATTAAAGGTTCCACCTTTGATACCATATCATATAATTTTAATAACTATACAAAATGTCATTAATTTGCGTTGGAAAGCAAGTGAAAGGTGAATACCCATCTGCAGAAACACATGACTAAAGTCAAAAACTTGAACTTGTCGTATGATTAACATAACTAAGCTCGCCGCTTAATAATCGCTTAACATATAAATAAATTTTGACAAAATGTTCTGGTTGCCTTTATTTACAAAAAATTCTTTCTAGTAGTTATCATTTACATAGATTTCTTGATAGATAGTAACTGTTATTTAAGTTGGTTTAGAAAAACTAATCGGATATTTCTCGAAAATGTGCTATGTATTTACCTTACCATTGTCATAAAAGCTTCCATTTAGTACCTACTCGAAAGAACTCTTCGAGTTACCAGCACACTTTTCCTATTTAGTGTCGCGCTGTAAATATATTGTGCACATCTGGCCAGTAAAAAGTTTTAGGGCACAACTGGAAAGCAATCTCAGTCTAACAGATGCTCAGGAAATTGCAGATCAAACCAATTACTGCGAGGCTGGTCTGTGCTCCTTCCATTTTAAAGCCAAGACACGTGAGTTGCTTTAGCACCTTTCTAGCTGGCTAATGAGCAGCAATCCCGGCAAGTAAAGAGTGCAATAAAAACTAAAGGTGTGAGCATGAAGCACTCGCTGCTGCTGTCAAGCTCAAGTTAAGTCTGAGAATTGTTTTAGGTAGATTTTTATCAAAAAACATTGTACCGCACAGTTGTGTGTGGAAGTTCTAGTCGTCGTATGTGCGCTGGGTGTTGAAGTTTTTCAATTGGTTTGGCTTTGTGCTCGCTTTACGCCATGCAACGCTAGCGGCCTTGCTAAACAATAGATGCCAGCTATCAGCAGCCGGCAGCTACTCGCTAGCAGACGACTGCCGCCCGCTAACCGCTGCCTGCCGCCTGCGACTTTTATCAATTGACAAGCCGCACAATGAGCAGCGCATGCACTCAAGTGCAGCAATAGCAACCGCAGCAGCAGCAGTCGTATCATCACATGCAACAATTAAAGGTGTGAGTGTGTTGCAGTAAAGATGATGCTGCCGCAGCGGAGCTCCCATGACATTGAGCGGCGCGCCGCTGCATACAATGCAATTTTTGTTGGCAAGTTGTTAGCCAAGTTAACTGAGACAATGACAGCAACCGTCAACGCTCAAGTGCATCCGTTATGATAGCTAACTGTCGATGGGCATTTGCTGTGCGCACTTGCATTTTGTGTATCACTAAGTCAACGAGCAAGTTTGTTACCTAAGTCGTTTGTTTTGTCTTTGCCCGCCAGCCTAATCAATTAAATCAAAGCTCTGCGGCGCGTTCGCACACATATATCATCAAATCACAACGCGCAAACAGAAAGCAAGACATATAAAAAAAAAAAAACTCTCAAAAGTTCCATCCATTGAGCGAGTGTCGCGAAAAGCCAACAAATGCGTGCGCTGGTGAATGTCAATGAACTTGTGGCTTAGCTTAAGGCTTAGAGCATTCTTTTGGCCAATTTCCAAAGCACCGGTTCAGGTTCTTTTTCACTCTCTTTCTCTTATTCTTTCCCTCTTTTTAGACCACTGCATAAATCGATGACTATCAAAGCGTTTTTACAGCTAATGCGGCTATTTTTATTCATTACGTTTTTGGCTTTCTTCGAACGATTTGTGTCCCGGGTCTTCTTCGTTACCCATTTCTCTGTTCCATTCAGTCACCTATCGTTGATCCGGTGTCTTTTTTTTTTTGTATATTTTGTGAGTAGTGTTCGATATACTCGAATCTCGTTCTAAATAGCTTAAAAATCTAGTAAGTGCTTAAGCTAGATGAATTGTTTTATATTTTCTATATTGTTTTAAAGGCATTTACATTTTTTAAAGAGTCAAACTCCCAATTGAGCAATCAAGCTTTTTCTTTAATTTTTTTTATTCTCCACTTGTTCTTCAATTCATATCATTACACCATCTACTCGCACGAGCATGTTTTCTCGTTTCTCTCTGTTTAAACAGCTATTAAATCAACTACCAAATGCTATTTGCAGGTTTATTGTCCGGACTGCCATTTTATTTGCTTACCATCAAGTCTCAAATCTTCAAAAGTTCTTTCTTTTTTCGTGACTCTTCTTCTTCTTTAATTCACAGCTTGTTGTAAAATTTAAGAAATCTCTTCTTGGCTAAGCCTTAGAATCAAAAAAAAAAAACTGTTTGGTAGTAATTTTTGTTAATGGCTCATTTGCATGGCCGGGCGAGTACCGTTAGGCCATGAAACCTTCGACGCGCAGGGTTGCATCATAATGAACATTTGGTTCTCTGCTACTCGGCGAGAGCTGAGATCATTTTTCATTAGTGTGTATTCATATATATATATATATATATATATATATATATTATTTAGTGCTTATATAAAACTTTTTTTTTCATAATAAGCTGTCTGCTCGTAAATTTGTCAAGATTCGTGGGCATTGTGTGATCTCTGTTTGAAAAGTGTTTAAAGTTCTGGACAAACTCGTAAATTAATTATTGTACAGCTCTCATCCAAGCCCATAAATATTTACGGCTTGATCAGAACTGGTCTCCCCTTTGAACCCGGAGCAGCTACACCTTTGTAAGCCTGAAGAATTAATATGCTTTGGCTTCAGAGGTGAAGCTAATTCGCGAATAACGCAATATTTGTATGCAAAAATTAAAAGTTATTTTCAGTAATATAAATTTAAGAAAGATGTTAAGAGAAGAGGATAATAAATCTGCTAATTTCTAGACATCACGAATATCTGAAAACGAACACTGTATTGTTTTTGTTAGGCTAATACTTACTGTACTCGAGAGTAGTAGCACTATCCACGTGACTAGTGGCAAAAATATTTTCATTTTTGCTGAAATGACATAAATAAGAATAAAACACATTAAAAATCATTAAAAAGACAATTAAAAGCAAGTTAAGTAAACATAATGTGCTGGAAAGGTATACTTAAATATTGTAATGCGATTTCCTGCTTAAGAGCGCAAAACAAAACAAGAAACACAAACACAAATAATTAACTTAAAATTTCAAACACGCAGCTGAAGAGCCCCGCAAAAATTGGCCTGGTCATCAGGGACAGGTGCCAAAAACCAAAAAAGCGAAACAATCGTCAAAAGGCAAATAAAAATACACTTACAAAAATGTGCGGCAAGTGCGAAGACGGGTAAATGACACTTGAAATTTATGCGCAAACATGAGCAACGTCTGCGTTTATCTTTTAGCATTTTCTCTGAAAAATTTATACAACGGCACTGCAAACACAGACCAGCATAAAAATTACAGAAACCAGGGAGAAAAAACAAAAAAAAACAAATATATATATTTATGTATATACATATATGTGAACTGGCCATAAGCCATTGTTGTTGTTGTTGTTTATTTTCTCACGCATTCATTTTCCACTTTCAGTTTTCAGTTGCTTCGCTTGATTTTCATAAGGTTTTGGCCGGCATCGGACGGGCGGCCACAAAATGGGCAAGGCAAGGCCTGTTAATTGGTAGAATAGCCGTAACGCAATACAAAATTGTCACGACGGTTGAGGGAAAATGTAATAATTTTGTATGAAAATTGATAGCATCTTTATATGGCACTCAGCCGTCGGATAGTCAGGTAGGTGGTCACATAATTATGACATAATCAACAGCTGGTACCGGAAGTTGAACCGAGACGGGCACGCAGACATTATATTAGATAGAATTTACAAGCGGCAATCATAAAAAACAGAAACTATCCATTACTATGCACATACAGATGGACCTGGGCAGGGTTTGAGGTCTGGAGTTTGGGGGCATGCAGCCAGTTTGCCCTTTCATCTGGGCGTTAACAAACAACTTTCTTAACTTGGCGTGAACGTTAACGTGTGCATATGTTAAAATATTTTCCATTATCTGCGTGTATTCTGCAAAAACATATATAAATTGCGCCCCAGGCACACAATAAAAACTTCAACGGCGTCCAAGCAATGTGCTGCAACCAGCGGCTTCTCCTTTGCCTTGGTTAAGGTTTGGGCCTGGCCCTAGTCTTGGCCCAGCCTGGTCGTACGATTTATCTATTTCGGTTTATCAGCTAATAAACGCTTAAATAAAATACACACTCTAAGCTAAATTACATGCGCTTTGCACGATTGCCAGCCAAAGGAAATAAACCTTGAACAAGTTTGATTTCGCTGACGAGTCAGTTGAACTACGGGATGATACTCTGTACGCAGTGCTATAGAGACAGATTTATAAAATCAATTTTGTATTTATTAGGAATTTGTTAGAATATTCAGTCTGACCCGTATCACATTGCTTACATTTGGTAATACATAACATCAACGATTTTTGGAAGGATGGGGAAAAGTTATTAATTTGTTAGCGGACAATTAACTTGGATTGATTGACTCAGCAAATCAAGAACAATTCTCAAAAGAGCGGTAATGTCCTATATAATGAGCTCTGTATACCCTTTAAAACGTTTACAGGGTATAACTACTGCAGTGCAGTGCAAACTCATCTCAAGCCAATAGATTCGCTCTCTTCTAACGACATTTGAAACTATCCAGGCCTAGATTCTGGCCGGGCTTTGGCTCTGGTCTCTGCTCATGTTGAAGGCCATCGCCTTTTTGGTTAATCTTGTTTGGTCGTTTATGCCGTGGCCTTTGGGCGCTTTTGTGTGTTGTCCATGTCCATGATCACTTAATTAAAGCAGGAACCGTGCGGAGTACTTTAGAATTTCTCGATCTCTCGCTTGCATTTTATGTGCACTCACAATGTAGTTGCGAATATAGTTTTAGTGATGCTTGATAAATTTATGTTGCCCGCGAAATGAGCGTAATTTGGTTGGTTGCTTGGGTTGAGCACCAATTGGTATGAGGGTCGGGCTGTTGGCTCAGCTGGGGATTAGTAGCTGCCTTCCGGCTGACAAGCTGATAAATGTGCGTGATAAATGTGAATGCTCTTCTGGATTTTGTTGTTGTTATTGCTGCTGTTGCTGTTCGTTAAGTCTGATTGAAGATCTAACAATGCTGGGCAAATGCCAAGTTCTATAAGCCCAGGCCCTACAAATAACATGGAATAACTCAATTGGATAACATTTGAAGTGCCTGCTAGTCGTTAGCTTGATGTATATATTTATTTTAATCAATTTATAAAACTTGTTTCTAATTTATCTAAAGGTCATACAAGCACTCAATATGTCTTGAAATGATGCTTTGCATAGCTAAAACTCGAACCAGAAATATGCATTTCGCCTATAATTCTCAAAAGCTTCGCATTCGCAAGTAAAATAAGTTTAAAAGCATCTTTAATTTTAAAGCAGATGATTTCCTCGAATGTTGATACAACATTTTTATTGCCACACCTTCTATGCCCTCTATCAACAGGTGATTGGATGGATATTATGTCGTAGTCACAAGCTACCATAACACAACTACATGTTTGAGATAATACGTCTTTTCAAAACAAGTTTTCTTTCTAAAAAATATATATTATTGCTCTTAATTTCAATTATCATTAATTTCCAGTTTCGATTGAACTAACGGCAATTTTATTGTTATTTGAAATATATTTTTATAGCGGACAAATTAAAATATATGTACAATGTCAAAATGTTGAACGAAGGCCGGCGGCTACTTGAGCAAAAGCCGAGCTAAAAAATCAATAACAGTTGCTTGGAACCCGCTCACTCCTCTAGTAGCCCCCCTACTTCGCCGCTGTCGGCGTCATCGAGAGCGTCGCCAGCGATGATCTCATCTTGTATTAACCTGTCTAGCCACTAAATCAAAGTCAAAGAAGCGAGTGACACATTTTTGCCTGTTCGTCCGAAAACACAACACATACACGCCCCGATATATACCCACACACACACAGCTGAGCTGATCGCATCTTTATTCAAAATAAATGCTGATAGCTTGAAAAATGTGTTTCTGAAGGCAAACATTTCATGTGCATTTGCTCGCAGTTTTGAGAAGGTATGTGCGTGTGTGTGTATGAATGAGTGTGAATGAGTGTGTGTCTCTAAGGTTTTGCTGAGACTAAGACACGTCCACATACGCACCCAAAAATCAATTGCTCAACCGGAAGCTGACGCGAGTTGTTCTCTTTTAGTTTGAACTGATTTAACAGTAGTCGGTTTTTGTTGTTGCTGTTAAACATTTCGTATTTGCATGTCACGACTTATCATTTATTTATTAAAATTGACTGATTTCCAAATTGCAATAGCCCTAATTTTTTGAGTGTAGTCATAACTCTGGGCCAGATGCCATCGATCAGCGTGCTTCGGCTTAGCAGATGCCGGCCACGCCCACCTGCTGGTGGGCTGATCAATTAATTATGCTTTTTCAATGTCAAAACTGTCGGGAAGAGGATCTGCGGCATTCGCCGCATAAATCTTGTGTGGCAAGCCTGCGCCTCCAGGCTGCAAACTTATCCTGCGGCTGGGCTGATGCAGTTTGTCTAATTGCAGGTTGACTGCCGCCAACTGAAGGTCACTGACAGCGCCGTAGACAGCACTTTACGCCTGCCTGACGACGTCGCTGCCGCCGCCGCCGGCTTGTCTCCACCAGCTGCGGGCTTATTGCTTCAGCGGAATTATCGTCTCACCTGCCCGCATGGCCCATGAACAACTGCAACAAGTTGCAAGTGGCAACCAGTTCACATGAAAATGCATAATCAATCACACAAAACGACAACAAAACCAGAGAGGCAGAGAGAGATTGAAGGAGATAGAGAGTGTGTGTGAGAGAGAGACTGAGAGAGATAATTCTGCCAATTTACAACGAATACTGCATGCACTTATTTATGATAGAGCTGGTATTGCAATTTGTTGAAGCTTAATAATTTTAGATTCTTTTTTCTTACTTTATTTTAATGGATTTATTTAGCTAATTGAATGTGGAAAACCCAATTTTCTTCATGTTTATATGCCAATATCATTCTTGGGACATTAAAACAAAACATCAGGAACATCAAAGAGCTTACTTGTCACTAATCATCGCTATTTATTTTTATGATCAGAAAGTGACGATACAGTCAATTCCAGGCAGATCATACAACGATAGTTGGAAAACGACTATTTTAATTTTACCAACCCATAAATTACACAGCACTATCAACAAATTTCATCTCAGAAATGTTTTTAACTCTCGCCATATTAACTTTTTCGCCGACTGGATGACTTAGCTATTATGCCCGAAAATGTGTATAAAAGGGTCGCGGTAAAAAATTGCCCATGCGCATTCCAACGCCCATTGGCGTATCATTTGCGCATCTTCATCGCGGAGACGACATTTCGCACGGCTTAAATGTCAGGGTGCGGGTACGTGTCGACCAATGACCGACGACTGGTTAAGAGTAGCTACTTTATGACATTACATTGCAGTCGACAGTCGAGAGTGTTGTTAACAATTCGTGTAAAGTTGCCGCTCATTAAAAACTCATAAATCAGTGCAACAGCAACGACAACAGCAGCAATAATTGCCGTTGCGAGGGCAGTGTCAAAATAAGGAACCCAGCTAAAGCCAGCGGAAATGGCCACCTGGCCGGCAACTGTTGCCGTTGTCCAATGCCCGGTGTCGGCGTCGGCATCGGCATCGTCAGCGGTACCGGTGTCGGTAGCGGGCCTGATGCCCGCTATGCGCAATGCAGTTTCCGCATTGGCAATATTGACATCTGCTTGGGCTTTTGATTAATGATAAATGCTCTGAGCATCCGCCGCTATGACATTTAGCTGAGAACTCTCTCAGCGATTGGCCGGAGTAGAGCCATTAGCTCGGTAGTTGGCCGCGTACGGGTTCGGGTAGTGCAGTCAATTGGTCCCTGCTCGGGCGCACAATTTAAGTCAAAACTAACGCAGTTAGACAAGAAAC